AGGGAGGCTGGGTCCTGAAGGGAGACACAGATGTCTAAGGTGAGGGAAGCTGGGTCTGAGTCCTATAATTCTGGGTAATAATGGAGGGGACAGGAGGCTGCTTTGGAAGAGAAACCACCATCTGGCTTTGCATCTCTGGGCAGCAGTGATCTGAAGGGACTCATAACTGCTCCTTCCCTGTCTCAAGGAGTCCTGAGGCAGCTGGCTAGCCAACCACCAACAGTGATCACAAGACAATGAAGCACCAACAGGTGTTAGGGTCTTCCTGCAGGCTGGGGAGTGTGAGAACCAGGCCAGGCCCTCTATGTCTGTCATCACAGGAGCCAGGGGAAGACAGAGACACTTGGAGCCAGAGGTCAGCTGATGCCATAGTGAGGTGGCCTTGGGTCCTGCAGAACCTTCACGTGAGTCACAAGTGCCGGGGGAGATGGTAAGCACCCTTGGGAGACAAAATGCCCTGAGACAACTCTGCTTCCCACCGCTGTGTTGATCCCCTGATTGACAGCATTCTTGCTTACCCTTTGAGATGGCACATTCTATGGCTGTCCTGTGTCTGTCTGCCTCCTAGCTTGGGCTTTTGGCAGGATGGCGTAGAAGCCATCTGTACTCTGCTTCTACCCTAGAATTGAAGGATCCAAGCAGCTATGGGCACAGGTAACAAAGGGAACCCTGGCCTCCCAGTGTTCTCCTCTGTGTGGGGAGCAGCTGGAACTAAGGGGACGTGTCAGCCGTGGCCCGACCCAGAGGGTACAGGCTGCCATGCACAGGTGGTAAGGGGTTTACAGGAGACCGTAGGTCCCTCACCCACCTCTCCCCAGATCCCTGCAAGCACAGTAGAACTGAAACATAGTGGAGATGAGGCCACGGTGGGTGGTTGTAGGAAGAAAGGGCTGTATGAAGAGCCACAGACAGACACTTGCTACTTTTGCCAGTATGGAAAAATCCTTGTGCTGAGGATGGACTCATGCCAGGTAGCAGGCATGGCAGTGAAGCCTAGTACGGCTGAGCAAGGTAGGAAGCACAGGCATGCCCAGGCCCAAGCCCATGGGCATCTAGAGAAGGCTCTATACTGGATAACGCTGTAGGAGAGAGACACTTGCAGGAAGCTGAGGACGATTAACTGCTTCATTTGCTGACTCATCCTGCAGGTGTTGGGCAGTCCCAAGGGACCTGGGACAAGTGTGTGAAAAGAATACAGGAGGCCTAAGACCCTGCGCCACCTTCTCATGCTCCTCACATGAAAAGGCAGGCATCGTATACACAGCCCACTCCTGCATGCTCAGCTCTTTGCAAGAAGGACTGGGCCTTCTACACATCTGCACGCTATACCTACAGTGTGCACGGCAGTCACTCCCCAGGTACCCAGAATGCAAACTGCCTCTCTGATCCTCACTAGCTATCACACTCTTGGCTGGAGGGTTTGGGATCTCCTCTGTAAGAACTTGGGGAGTCTGTGTGCTTTAGAGATGGTTCAGTGGTTAAGAACACTTAATGTTCTGGCAGAGGACCCAAGTTAGGTTCCTAGTATCCAACTCTGGTACCTTATGGCCACCCATTACTCTAGCTCCAGGGAATCCCATGTCCTCTTCTGGCCATATGTGTGTACCCACACACAGAGACATCATTAAAATGCTTTCTTAAAACTCTTAGAGAATTTGACAAGTCCTTTTTTTTCTCCTAATGGTGGCATGAACGTGAAAGGTTCACAATCTACAATATGACACCTACTTCTTAGAAAATACAAGTCAGTATGTGATTTATGGCAGGCCAAACATCACTGAGGACACTTTCCTCTGACACCTCCTGCTCCGACGATGTCCAAGGATAAAGTTCGCGCTAACCCCCAACAGAGCTACAGGCAGCAGACAATGCCCAAGGGGTGGGAAGGGGGTACCCAAGGAAGGCAAAGGAGCCAGGCCATCCCCAGAAATCACCCCCTACATCTTTTCCGAGCTCTGGTTAGAATCTACTCGATGCCTTCTGCAGGTCAGAAAGCACGGTCTTTCTTGACTCTCTCCCCAGACCCACAATTAGATGGGCTGACTAGCCAGAGGTCTGTCCCTGAAATCTGGGGGAACATCCTTTATGCCTGCCCTGCCAGTCCTCTGTCCCCTTTAGAGACCCACTGCCTGCTTTTTCTGTTTGGATCTAGGAGTACTGGTGCCCCACTGAGGTGACTGTGGAGAGTGTACCCCAGTAAGGAGGAAGCCTTTCCCCTGCACAGCCCACTGCATCACTGCAAGGAGCTCCCATCCCTGACTGGCTGTCCCCTGGAAGACCTTGAGCCAACAAAGAAGCAAACTATTTAAGGAGTAAGCAATTGGTGCTTAGAGAACGCCTCAGGACACCACACTGCTCGTCTTCTCCTCAAAGGCCCTTCCCATACGCACACATGCTGGCTCGCGGGCCCCTGCATGTGTGCACCACCTGCGCCTCAAAACTTCCCGGTTCTTATATGGTAGCCCTGGCTCTGGGGACCCCTTAGCCGCAGTTCTGTGCCTGCTGTTCTTGTCTACCACCAAAGAGCTCAGAAACTCAAGATGTGCCCTTCCAAAGTTTCACCCTGGGAAGGAAATGCCTAGCTGTAAGACACAAGAACCCCAGCAGTGTGGCATGGCAGGACAGTCAAGGAGCCTGCCCGCGGGCTTCTCTGTGTCTTTTCACTATGGTTGCCATTATTGAGACCTACTCAGGACCGGCCACAGCAAGCTATGGTCATCTTTCCAGTCTGTCCCCATGTCGTGTCCTGGTCATCTTGTATCGGAGTGAAGGAACGTTCAGTTGCCTCCTCCACACTCCATACCACACACAGGGTGTCTGGGATCCTTTCCTGGCTCTGAGGAAGGTGAGGAAGACAGCCTGGTTCTCTAAAGCAAAGCCTGACCATCATCTCTGGATTCCGTCTACAAGGCAGATGAGAATGCTCCATCGAAAAAGTTCATGAGGGTCAGTTCTGGAGAGAGGCTGGGGGCTGGGAGTAGAGCTTTGTGGGATAGCATGCACCTAGCATTTCCAAGGCCCTAGGTTCAAGACCCCCCTCCCCACACATACACACAGATTTACTTCTTTAATTAGAAACTTCAACTTATTTGCATGCTTTTTTTTTCTCTGTGTTTCACAGATTTTTTTTGTACTAGGTGTTATTATCATCAATATGTGTGGGAAGCAGATGCATATGTATGTGGGCCAGTGAAAAAGTGGTGTGTGTGTGTGTGTGTGTGTGTGTGTGTGTGTGTGTGTGTGTATGTGTGTGTGTGTGTGTGTAGGTCAGAGGACAACCTCCAGTGTGTTTCCTAAGAGCTGGCTTTTTTTTTTTTTTTTGTTAAAGTCTCTCACTGGTCTGGAGCTTTCCACATAGCTAGCCTCAAGGATCTACCATCTGCCTGTCTCTGCTGCCCCAGCACCAAGATTACAAGCATATACCACTGTACCCAGCTTTTTCACATGGGTTCCATGTATCAGACTCGGGTTCTCGTGTTTGTAAGGTAAATATATGACCATCTGAGTCATCTCCCAAGCTCTGCAGCAAGCATCGGGGAACGAGGGAATGACTCTCTTCAACCATTAGTAGAGTATTGGGGTGTAGCTTAGTGGAATAAGCTACATGAGCAAGGCCTGGGCTTCAGTCTTCAGCACCACCAAACAAACATATATATAACAGGAAAGGAAAAAAAGGATGTGGTTCACATGTGAAATGCCCCTAACAGGCTCACCTCCCTGGATTCTGACACTGTTTAGGGAAGTTTTAGAACCCTGGGGTGAGAAGACATGGTTTTCAGAGGAGGGTCATTGAGGATAGACTTTCAGGAGAGTCGCCAGGCCCTGCTGCCAGCCCAGGTCCTCTGCTTCCATGGTGGGGTCACAAGAGAAGTTGCCGTTCTCCCATGGATGAGCTCCCTCCAGCCACTATGTTGTTCGCATCACTGGGAAGCACATCTCACCCTAGAGCTCAACAACCATTTTCACCATCCAGATGCGCTGGCAACCCACAGCCATGCAGAAGTGCTACAGAGAAAACAGTCACTACCTAGACCTGGGCCTCTGAGAAGAGGTCACCTGCTGAGCACTTCCCTATTCAGTTTTATGTGTACCACACCCAACAGTGCTTTTGGATCTGTCTAAGGCAGGACGGGAAGAAGACAGGGACCTGAGAAAGGAGAGGAAGCCCCTTCACTCATGAATCTGCTTGAAGCCTCTTGTCTCAGGGGTGGGGGTAGGGTACTCTTGGGTGGGAGAGCAACATTTCCATCACAATTAGCAACTGCTTACAACCTTCCTTCTTTCTCAGCTACAAACCCGCCATTTTCTAGGAACCTCACCAGACACTGAATTTACAGAGCAAGGACGTGGTCTCCACCCTGTGTGCAACCCTAGAGGCTCCCGACATCACCTTATCATGTTGTAGTTGTATTGGATATCTATACATACACACACACACACACACACACACACACACACACACAAAGATTATGATTCTATTGGGATGTAGATATCTATATGTAAACTTATATATGGTTATAATATAATCCAGCATATCTCCCTCCAGAGCCCCTAAATCCCATTTATCAAAAATGGGAGAAAAGGAAGAGGAAAGGGGTTTCTTAGCAATCTTTCAAGATGCCACCCGAGGACCACCAAAATAGTGCACACGGCTAAGGCAAGGCATTAGTGGTGTTTTCCTTGAGGAGGCCACACCCACACTTGATTCCGTGTATCCTTACTCAACATCTCCCTTTCTCCCTGAGCACTCACACTTAAGTTTATAACTAAAAAAATCCGTGGACTCTGCTTCAAACTGCCTAGGCCTGAAATCTGGGTTGGAGCCACAAATCTAGCTTTGGCCCCGAACTGAGGTCCCTAAAAGAAGACCTCAGGCTGCTGACGGTGACAGTGGAGCTGTGTCTTTGTTCCCTCACCACTGACAGGTGCACTTGCCATCCACTCACAGATAACACAGCCGCCCGAGAATCGTCTGCTAATAAAAACTCTTCAGTACCTGCAAGACCTGAATTCATCTGGACGAAGCAGGAACACACACACAGGAGCTTGTGTTTCCGCAGGACAACAAGCTTGCCGCCTTTATATTCCACCCTCTCCCCAGTGAGAAACAGGAGTATGGAGAACCTAAGCTTCAGAATTTCTGGTCTGAGGAAATGCTAGTTAATGACTGGCTACTGTGTGTGTGAATGGGGGCAGGTGGCTGGATAGGCGGAATAGCCTCTGGTACTTTGTAGCACAGCAGGCTAGCCCCGGGTGCAATAGCTCAGTGGTAAAAGTACTTGCTCTGCAAGCATGGGGACCTGAGTTCAAATCCCCAGCACTATCAAAAAGCCAGGCATAGCTACATACACATGTAACGCCAGGATTGCAGGGGCCGAAATAGGCAGATCTTGAGTTGGTGGCCTCTGCATGTGTGTGTATAAATTTATATGCGCATGTGAATAGCTTAAAAGAGGGATTGGGGTGATAATGCAGTCTTGACTTACATACATGACTTACAAACATGAGGACAAAAATTGGAGCCTCAGAACCCATGTAAAAAAAATAAAGCCAGATATGATGGTATGTATTTGGAGGCAGATACAGAGAGACCCCTAGGGCTAGCATGCCAGCCAGCCTAACCTACTTTAGTACCTCCAGGTCAGTGAGAAACCCTGTCTCGAAAATCAAAGTGAGCAGTGACCGAAGAACAAGAGCTGAGGTTACCATGAGGTTATATGTGTCCACACATATGAACACACATGTTTATCCATACAATATGAACACATACACACATAGCTCAAAGGAGCTAGTGGATGAGGTTCTGAATTTTTCCAATATAAAAAAATAGTAAATTTTTGAGGCAATGGGTATATTCATTACCCGTCATCCGACAAATAAATATAACACACACAATAAGTGTCAGTTAAAAATTGAAAGGAGAACTTGTAATGGGAAGTAGTTCTGCCCAGATGAAATCTCTCACTAATTTCATCTGCTTAGCTAGGAAACAGAAAAACCTTTAAGTGGCACACGGTTGTCATAGCAACAGCAACACTCTGAGCTTGTGTCCACAGGGGAACTAGCTTATCAGCTTTCCCTTGCTTTCATGCACAGTTTATGCGGGATTTGTCACTTGAACCGGAGTAACAGGAAGACTTGCTTGCTCGCTCTACCAGGACTACTGCCTGGCATTGCTCCTGCTCCTGGACTCTCTGCAAAACCAGAGAAGTTCTGTCTTTAAAAACACTGTGAATTAAAAAAAAAAACCTCACTGTGGGGGTAACAGCTACTGGATAAAGGGTGCTGTGTGTACCCCAGCTACACCACATACTTCGAACACAACTGCACATGTGTCTCGCGTGAACCGGCAGAGGGACCCTCCTTCCACTGGCCAAGCCTCCTTGACACTACCTCATTGATGGCCAGTTGCTCTCCACCTCCTCTAGGGTGACTGTAGTGGTACCCCGAGTTGTGAAGCTCTTCATACAGGTCCTCCTCGCTGCCTGTTTCCTCTGCGCACACAGTGTCCAGAGTTCCATCGGGCATCCCTGGAAAGAGAGACAGCAGCAGGCAAAGAGTGTCAGCTTGGGAGGGGGAAGAGGGCAGGTGGCAAAGGACCCGGGTGGTTGTAGAACCAGTATTACTTCTTTGGGAGGAAGGAGGTGGCCAGGATACTTTGTCAAGCCATTCTTGTCTGTTGGATGCAGACCACTGACATCAATGCTGCAAATCACCTAGCTCTGGGCCATAGCAACCTGGTAGCCAAGAAGACACCAAGGTTGGCTGGGGCATGTCATCCAAGAACTCTGAGTTCAATTAAAAGTCATTTACCAGTGTCTATAAAGGGCCATAAAAGACCTAAGAGAAAAGGTAATCTTGGGGAACCTTTGAGATAGCTTATCCAGTTAAGGTCCTTGCTACCCATCCTGACCACACATGTTCATCTCCTGGGATCTATATGGTAGAAGGGGAGAACAAACTCCTACAAGTTGTCCTCTGACCTCTACATGTATGCCAAGGGTCATACATACACACACACAATGTGATTTTTGAGGCAAAAATATAACTAATTTTAATTTTTGAAATTAAAATTTAATTACATTTCTCCCTTCCCTTTCTTCTCTTCAAACTCTCCCATATGCCCTGCCCAGCTTTCCTTCAAATTCATTGACTCTTTATTTTTCCACTAATTGTTATTGCATGCATACATGTATGCATATATACATATACATTACTAAATATAACCCATTGGGTTCACATAATGTTACTTGCTTGTATGTTTTTAGGGCTGGCTGTTGGCATCACATAACCAATTAGTGTGTTTGCCCTTGGAGAAGACCACCTCTCCTGCTCCCAGCTCAGTTGCCTGTAGCTCTTCGTGTAGAACTGAGGCCTCTGGGGCTTCTACATGTCCAGTTTGGCATGTCTATTCGTATCATCCTTGTTCAGTTCATGCTTGGGCAGTTATGTTGGTGAGATTTTATGGGTGTAGACTTAATGTAGCTTCTGACACTACTAGGAGACACTCTCACAGCACACTCCCCGATTCTCTGGCTCTTACAATCTTTCTGCCCCTCTTTTCTAACGTCCCCTCAGCCTTAGGTGCAGGAGTGTTTGCAGATGCGTCATTAGAACTGGGCTACACAACTCTGCACTTTCATTAGCTGTGATTCTACATGTTGATCTGTGTGGTAGTCTGAATATAACTGGTCCCCATAAACTCCTAGGGAGTGGCACTATTAGGAGGTGTGGCTTTGTTGGAGTAGGTGTGGCCTTGTTGGAGGAAGTGTGTCACCGTGGGGGTGGGCTTTGAGTTCTCATACATGCTCAAGTCATGCCCAGTGCCTCAGTTCACTTTTTGTTGCCTTCTGATCAAGATGTATAAACTCTTAGCTCCTTCAGCACCATGTCTGCCTGCATTCTGCCTTATATCCTGCCATGAGGATAATGGACTAAATCTCGGAACTGTAAGTGAGCCGTCCCAATGAAATGTTTTTCTTTATAAGAGATGCTGTGGTCATGGTGTCTCTTGACAGCAACAGAAACCTAAGACAATTTGTATTCTGCC